ACAAAACCAAGGCTCCTTGCACTATGCTAAGACATTTGGAGAGAGTTCGTTAGACTCTACTGATACTGACGCCGTACATTGGGTGGCCTCTTGTACCAAGCTGGTGACTACCATTGCGGCAATGCAGTGTGTCGAGCGCGGTCTGCTAGATTTGGATGGGGATATCGCTAATGTGTTACCGGAGTGGGCAAGTCCTCAAACACTGACGGGCTTCGATGCGAACGATAATCCCATCTTTCGGGCAGCCACCAAACCTGTTACCCTACGGTATTTCGTACTCTTCCTAATTTGAATGAATGTAGGATCCAGGTGTACTAACTGCTAAAAGGCGCATGTTAACCCACTCCAGTGGTATGGGTTACTTCCACATGGATTCTCTGATGACACGCTATCACGAACAGCAGGGAAGCCCTCCTCTGGTCCAAACATTTCGCCAATACCAATTCTTACTTTTTGAACCGGGTGAACGATGGATGTATTCACCTGGCATTGACTGGGCAGGAGTAGCAGTAAGTTCTGACGTCTTAATCATTCATGAATTAGGCCAATTGACAATGCATGGTTCAACAAGGTCGAGCGAGCTACATCTATGAAGCTGGGCGACTACTTGCAGCGCCATGTTTTCGACATTGTTTCCGTCAAGGATGCGACATTCCACCTAGAGTAGAGAGAAGATCTACGGGCCCGTAAAGTCAAAGCTTGGCTGCGCACAGATCAAGGCCTGGAAGAAGAGAAGAATCAGATCTTCCCCGACCCCATTGTGGAAGACGTAGGAGGTGGTGGTCTATACACAACCGTGAACGAAATGCTTAAGATTTGTCAAGGTATACTTACAGCACAATTTCTGCGTCCTGAGACCATTGAAGAGATGTTCCAACCTCATCTGGAGAGTGCTTCTGGCCTTGAGCAACCGGAAGATTATTCGTTCGTGCCGCACAATGCCATATGAAATGCTATCCCACATGACATACCGGTGGATTTTGGGATCGGTGGTTTGCTGAATAAAGCTAGGATCCCGTAGCGTCGAGAAGTAAATTCGCTCTCATGGTCGGGGAAACCAAATTGCTACTGGGTTGGTTATCCGCCACCTATAAGTAACCCGTCGTAGTTGACTAACGTACCATAGTGGATAGACATTAAGAGAGGGGTTGCTGGGATATGTCTTTCCCAGCTTTTACCGACCGGAGATCATAGTGCTATCGAACTGCTAACTGAGTTCGAAAGATGGGTGTACTCGCGTTTAGATAATCGGGATGGCACAGCAAAGCAGAAATCAGCTTTATGATCTTGAATACAGTAGGTTCGGAGTTTAGTATGGCAAATTCAAGAGGAAGCTTTATCATGTAATCAGATAATTCGGATTAGAAGATCCGCCATGACTTCGAATCACTTACTTATATTAGGAATTGTTTCCTAATTCTGCTAATCATATTTTAAAATATTTTTCAGGCATCTCCGAGGTATTAATTTAGGAAAGCTCCAGAATGAAGAGGATCAGATTTCTTATTATTTTATTTTATTTATTTATTTACTGTTTGTCATTTTTTCCTCGTTAGTACCATTGTGTATCCCCTGTAGAGGTTGGAGTTGATTCATACATTTATATTTGCTTGACTAGCATTTGCTTTAGAGTATCACATGGTTGAGTTAATTTCGAGTCACGGTGTTTCTAAACCTATCTAGATAAGTTTTGTTGTTCCAGTCTGACACTGCCCCGCTAACTCCTGAACCTGTCGCGGGCGGGTGCCCAGCACACTACATTCGTGGTCGTCTCAAACGTACCAAGCATTTGGAGGGCATCCATTCTTGGCGGCTTTACCCTTTTGAGGCGTCGGCATGTTACTCTATTTTTGTAATCCTGAGCGATGGTTGCTCGCAAATAACACCTGGCCTAGGACTGGGATCGTAATGTGGCACGGTCACAACTCATTCTTGTAGACCAACGCACCTGTAATTATACCAAGAGTGCCGAATATGCGTTTCATGGACATGTAACACTTCACTTCTACCCTCTTACATAGAGTAAAATATGTCATCCATGGGCCTTAGCTGGATCTAAGACAGCGGCAGCAACCTTGTCAGGGTTTGATGAACTACGAGTGGGTCACGAAATCAGCCTCGCCGTCTTCTTTACTGCTTTGGGCAGTTGAAGGTAGAAGTATTTCTGCAATCCAATCAAACAGATTCTATGAATATTAGAGTATCACTTGTCTCACACCTTTTGACGGATGTCCTTTTCTCCGTGGATACACCGAGAATGAAGCCCGTTTATGATGCACATACTAAAGGCCTTGGCCTTCTTAATCTATTATAAGCTAATCGGAGTGAGTTGGCAATCGGCGATGGGTTGGATGGCCCACCTCACAACTGCAGGTATGGAGGGAATAACACGGCCATGGAGACGAAAATGAAACATGGGGTTGGAGTTGATTTTTCTGAGCTGGAGCACCTCAAAGCATCCGGCACCTTGTTTAAGCAATGAATACCGGTGTCAGAACCTTAGCATGGCATAACTATCTGTCAGGGCCCGAAAAAAGCGCAAGGACCATGAAGCGAGGCACTAGCCTCTTAAAGACGCAATTCAGATACGGGGCACAAGCAAACCCATACAATGATGCCCAGGCAGCCACAATATTAGTCAAAGATGGCTGTGTATATCCACTTTGGCAATGTGGTCCCTGCTCCAGGCTATCATTTACGGGTCCTAAGTGGCCAGTGCTCAGCTGAGAGAGCCCTATCTTCCGTATTCGTATTTGACCTCGGCAGGATGTTACTTTGGTGCACCCTGAAACAAAGAATATCCAGGACAACAACACAAACGGCGGAAAGTATATGCAGAGCCCTGAAAAGGAAGAAGAAAAAAGAAATAGGGGCGACTGCTGTGCTGTGTCATTAAAGAGACAGACGTGCTCCAGGAGGATTGGACGTAGCTTTTCTTGCTCCACAGTGCTCTTTTCAAGAATCTTGACAACTACAAACATCGTCACACCTGCAAGCACATAATGGCGATGCTTAATCTGGTCCTTTCTGCTTCTTACCTCTATATATTTGGTACCATATTTTTTGACATAGTTCACTTTCTCCTGCACAAATGCTCGAGATCTCGCTGGCGAATCCTCCGCTTTCTTTCCCGCTGTCACCAGTATCATCACCTCTACTACCCCCGATCTCTTCAATTCAATCAGCGATACGCCAAACCAAATGCCTTGATTGCTCTTCCTCTCGAGCTAATATGTCAGTTGCTCGGAAGCATCATCGGCTGGATCCTTGCTACCACCCTGAATTGTTATATTAAACGTCTCGATTCGAAGGCCCTTTCTATCGTCCTCGTCGTACAAACCGTTCGATCTCTTTTGGTTATTATTAGTAACGGCCAGGACTCCAATCATATCGCACTTGACAAAGGATCCAAAGATCATAGCTGGGCATTTGTGGGACCGGAGTACCACTCCTTGCACCATATCTACCCAGATCGGTATATGGGGTCTATGGTGAAGCTGTTCGACTGGATTGCGGGTACTGCATACGCGCTGAAGAACAAGACGGTGGTCATGACGGGTGGGTCGGGGGCATTTGGACAAGCGATGGAGAAGCAATTACTCGCCGAAGGGGTCAAAAGCATACACAAGTTGCAGTTCGGCAGAGACTGGGACAATGGGAACTTCTCGCGTGTCGGTACCATCCTTCGAGAGGCAGATATCATCATTCTCGCCCACGGAACCAAAGGTCCAGATACCATGGACTCAAACTGCATCTCATCAGTCCGTTTAATTGAGCTGTTCATGCAACAAAGGTCCGCACAGTCTCAGAGAACCAAGGTTCTACCTGAAATCTGGTACGTCGGAAGCGAAGCAGAACTTCATCCTGCTTGGGGTGGGCCTGACATGGTACGATACACTGCGTCAAAGAGAGCATTCTTACCCTACGCTCGTGCTCTGTACAAGTCAGACAAGGTAATATATCGACATATTGTCCCTGCAGCGTTTGATTCCCGCATGGGAAAGGCGATTGTGTCGGCTGACTGGGCTGCGCGGTGCACAATGTCGTGGATTCGACGGGGAGCTTATTATATCCCGGTTACATATACGGGACTCGCATATTTGAACTTTTTCAAGTTTCTACTTGGGGCCTCGGCAGATTCGAGGTGGGTGGATAGGATAGGAGAATCCTAGGGGGTTGCATTACATGAATGGGTATATTGAATCTTTCTTTTGGTTTTTTTTATTTATATTTTCATTCTTATTTTTTTTTTTTTTTTTTTTTTTTTTTTTTTTTTTTTGTGTATGTAAGCGATCTGCTTCAAGGTTTTCGGCGCATAGAACACTTGATGCGTTGTAAATGTTATATATTAGTTTGGGATGTATTCAGACCGATATGGCCGTCCCAGGTGCACTGAGGCGGCCCCTGTGTGATACCCCTTATTGATTCTTCCGCCGACCACATCAATAGAAACAACGTGATTTCACCTACAGTCCATCATCCATTCAAATAAAAAGCAAAGAATGGAAACAAAAACATACAACAGAAGGGATTCGCTGGTGGTCACCCACCCAACTACTAACCTCCCGGCGTGTGGCTTAAGTACGGCTGAGCGGACGGGAAGCCCTGTTTTCCACACCCTGTGGTCGTATGTACTTGATTGATCCATAGCAATCAGTGATATACGGCCGAGAATGAGTAACATTCTCCAACAATATGATTCTGTTCATGCAACATCGTACTCCGAGGGCCTCTGTCAGGCACAAATGTGCAGGTTGGCAGTCGTCGTGGCCGCAAGGCAGGAAGACACCCCAGCTTCTGTAATCAGAAGCAGCCAGTCAAATTCCGACGATAAGATTAGCCTGGGGGAAAGGCGCAATCCAGAGCCGCGCTAATAGACTAACTCGCTGCTGCGCCTTCTCCACATAGGGCATAGTTGCATGCGCCGGCGTATATAAAACAACCGAACCTGCCACTACCGACTGGCCCCCGAATAGCACCTTGTTTTTTTTCTTTCATCACCTGTACTGCCCATACTATATCCACAGAATGCCAACAGAAGCTTTCCATCGACTCAGTCGTGCTGATTTTACAATCGCAATTATATGCCCGCTTCCCCTGGAGGCAGAAGTGGCGATACCGCTGTTTGACACGGTCTACGATAGAACTGTCTACGAAAAATACGGGCCTGTACGAAATGACCCCAATCACTATACGCTGGGCCGCATTGGCTGTTACAATGTGGTTCTGGTCCACATGGGTGGTTGTGGGAAAGCCGAATCATCCAGCGTGGCCAGTAATATCAAACAAAGCTATCCGGGCATCGAACTGGCCCTTCTAATAGGGATCTGTGGAGGAGTGCCTTACAGGACGGACGTGGGTCCAATACAACACAGGAGAGATGTTTTCCTCGGCGATGTGATAATTAGCAGCGCGATTATTCAATATGATTTGGGGAAAAGACTTCCGCACCGATTTGTGCGCAAGAATACGTTAGAGTCCAATCTAGGGCGAGCGAGTCTGCAGATCCGATCATTCATGACCTGCTTAGAGTCGCGTCATGGCGACCTCTCCAAAGACCAACAGGGGCATCTTCAGACTATACAAGGTAGCAAGGATGTGCCATATCCTGGTATCAAAAGCGATATCCTATTTAAAGCTGAATACAAGCATCGCGTACGCTGTCTGTGTATGAGTGATGCCAGCGGGGACCAAAGTGTCGTGGACCGCCGTCGTGTGGACTCTGATGGGACTCCGTATATCCATATTGGCCGGCTTGCCTCTGGAGATACTGTGATGTGCTCTGCCAAGGATCGAGACAAGATTTCCAAGCGCGAGGAAGTTCTTGGTTTTGAGATGGAAGGGGCTTGCGTATGGGACAATATCCCTTGCATCCTGATCAAAGGAGTAAGCGACTACGCTGATAGCCATAAGAATGATACTTGGCAATACTACGCAGCTGCGAGTGCAGCGGCTTGCATGCGTGCTCTCCTGGATCAGAATCCCATTCCGAATGTGACATCATCAGCGGGCCTGGCCCAGGGTATGTAAGCAACTATTGTATTCATAGCTTCCATTAGGTTCTTTTAGCTGTGTACTTTACTGAGCGTCAATTGATTACCCTGCAGATATAATTGCCTCCCAGTTTAATCCATGAAAAAGGCCTGCAGAGACTTCTGAAGACTCCAGTAACGAACGGGAAAAGGCGTGCCTTGATCTATTAACTTTCCCCCAAGCCCAGTATCGCCTGGACGAGATTATGGATCCCCTCAATACGACATGCACTTGGGTATTAGAACGACCAGAATATAAGACATGGATGAGCGGGGAGGATTTAAAAAGTCACGGAGGATTTTTCTGGATCAAAGGGAAGCCCGGAGCCGGAAAGTCGACGCTCATGAAACACCTTCTTTCAAAGGCAAAGCAAACTGGAAAAGACACAATCATCTCCTCTTTCTTTTTCCATGCCCAAGGGGTGGACTTGGAGAGGTCCACTGTGGGTATGTATCGCTCACTCTTGCATCAGCTTCTCTCGTCTACTGCCGTTCCATCGAGTGCCAAACAGCCCTACTTTAGCTTCGCAGCGAAGATGCTAAGTCAAGATGACGGCATAAATTGGACAATCCGAGACTTGAAACATCAGCTGTTATCACTCATTCGATTGCTGAACAACCGCTACGTGTTCTTCTTTATTGATGCTCTGGACGAATGCCACCAAGCCGAGATGGAGGACATGATACCGTTCCTCGAGCACTTGGGGCACTCTTTGAATGCAAGCGATGTTCATTTGAGAATCTGTCTGGCAAGCCGACACTATCCACAACTCAATATTGAACGTGGCATTGAGTGGGTCTTGGAGTACCAGCAGGAGCATCAAGGCGACATGCGGAAGTACGTTGAGACGAAATTGAAAGGGGGCAAGTCAAAAATGCTCCAAGAGATTAGAGAAGAAGTGTGCGCCCGAGCATCCGGTGTATTTCTTTGGGTTATACTTGTAGTTCGATCGCTAAATGATGCGTTCGCCAAGGGCAAAATCCACGCCGTACGTCAACGGCTGGATGAAATCCCAGACGGGCTTGATGAGCTTTTCACCGATATGCTGACCAGAGACACTGAGGAAATTGATGACCTTATATTTTGTCTTCGACTCATCTTGTTTGCACAACGTCCATTGTCCAAGGATGAGTTCTACTTCGGGGTGATGTTTACCAAAAACGGCTTGATCAAAAGAGAAGGCGAATGGCACATTGATCCGCACATTGAGAACTCCATCCTTAACGTCTCCAAAGGCCTCGTGGAAATTACCCGCACCAAAGCTCGCATAGTACATTTCATTCACGAGTCAGTGCGAGATTTTCTACTACGACGGGACGGTTTTAGCAGACTCCAGGCTGGGTCGAGCGCGAACACAATCGGGAACGCCCATAACGAGCTTGCACAAATCTGCTTCCGATACATCTGTCAAATCAAGCTCATGGCCGCAAAGGAGCCAAGACGCTGTGTATGGCCACCCCAAGCCGAGAACTATCTGAATTCAGAAACCCGATTCCTCAATTATGCTATCCATAGCCTCCTGCCTCACAGCAATGCAGCTGAGGCTGGAGGCACTTCGCAAGCTGCCTTCCTGCAAGCGTTTTCTTTGTCATTCGAGGACTTCAAGCACATCCGCAATGCCCTTACACTATGGCACATTCGCCAATATGGATCCGACGTCACGATTCTATACGTTCTAGCAGAATTGAACTTGGACCACCTCATCCGCCTGGAACTTCTACGTACGCCACAGATATGGAAGCAAATGGGAAGGTATCACAGCCCAATGGGTGCGGCTGTCTACTTGGGTAACGCACTTGCAATCAGGGCCTTACTTGGTTGCAATACGAGTTCAGATGCCTCTGTCGACAACTCCTTGCTTGAGGCTGGGGTCATTGATCGTATGAAACAATATGTGGTCAACAGCAAGCGAATCAAAATGAAAAGAGGTTCTTTGGCTTTGTATCTGGTGGAGTACGCTATTAAGCGTGGTCATGTAGCCATATTAAAGCTCCTCTACCTCACTGGCAAAATCGATCTGAACCATAAGCTCAACTGTCGTTCGCTACCGCTTATCTGTGCGATTAAGTGTTCCAAGGCAGAAATCGTGGAGTTTTTGCTCAGCTGTGATAGAGTCACTATTGCCAGCCCCACAAACGCTTTGCGTATTGCGATCACTCGAGGTAAAAGGGATGTTTGCAGTGCCCTACTTTCCTCCCCATACAGTCTTCGTTGGTTGGACTCCTCCGGGGGAGTTGCCATCCACTGGGCAGTAATTGGAAACAACGGGTCTACAATGAGACATCTCCTTGAGCTTGGTTGCGACGTAACGCTACGCGATAGAGATGGTCGAGATGCTTTGTCACATGCCGCCGAACAAGGCAAAATTGAGATGATGAAAATCCTAATTGAGAGCGGGGTTGTCGATATAGATGGGAAAGACAGTCAGGGAAGGACGGCTTTATCATGGGCCGCAGGACCAAACAATAAAACGCTCAATCGTTCGCCTGACCCAAACAAATGTTGGGATCAATTGCAAAAGGAAGCCATGTATGTGCTACTCAGCATGGGAAGTGTTGATGTGAACTCCAGAGACAAACATCAATGGACGCCCTTGTTATGGGCCGTTCAGAGAAACAAACCAGTGGCAGTGGACATTCTTCTTGAGGCCTCAGAAACTGAGGTTGACTGTAGAAGTGTGACTGGAAAAACACCACTTACGGTAGCCGCAATGTGTGGACATGAAGCCATGCTATGTAAGCTCCTGCAGTCAGGTCGTGCGGATGTCAATTCTCAGGATATTTTCGGGAGAACACCCTTATCTTGGGCTGTTTACCCATGTGGTATGTCTCCACGGCCTTCTGGACAAGACTATCCGTCAATGTTCAGCAGGAAATGGCAGTACCTGGCAGACAGATCATCCCCGTATCGTGCAGTTCCGTTGCTGCTGGATTGCCCGATAATAGATGCCAGCATTCCAGATTCCTTTGGCCATCCACCCTGGTGGTGGACCCAAGCTTAGAGGATTGATACCCCCGCAGCCGTGGAATGGATTAAAGAGGAAGACAAAAAGGTCATGCAGTTGCTCATAGATCATCTGTCGAAAAAGAACAAGTCCAATGATAACGCAGTTCTGCCACTAGATAGGGAAACGTTGGAGCGCGAAATCCAGGTTGTTGCAGCGTCCTATACACCATATGATTATTGAAGGCGCCAGTGAGACATCTGACCCATTGATGTTTTGTTCAACAGTTCATCTATAGACAAGATCCATCTATCAAGCCTCATGGTGCACTCCCCTTCTCGGCTGATATGGACGTGGTGCGGTGGCAAAGCTACATCTCTTCTCGTGTACATAATTACATTCAAGCAATAAAAAAATACGATTATCACGCTCACAGTAAGAGCCTAACGGGCTCAGCTCATATACTTCCTGTTACGCGTCAAAGTGGAACATGAGTTCCTTTCCAAAGGCATCCTTAGCTCGGGCTTGCAGGAGACAGGAGACCATCATCTTCGCGCATGACCGGTACTACAATCTAATAATACCAAATACCTATATACTAATCTCAATTCCATTCTATACCATCTTTTTTGGTCATCTTCAAGCCTTGTAGGCAAGCTATTGGCTTTTCGCATTCGTATCCTTACGCAACAGACTGGCCGTGAAAGCTGCATACACAGCCGTCAGAGCATGCAGAATACAGTCATATTTCACATTGATGACTGTTTATCACGAACCAGCTTTTGCATCATCTCTTCTCTCCAGCCCCAGCCCAGCGCAAATGTGGCCCCAGGCCCAAGAGTAACTGTAGTCCCCACCAGTCCCCCAACAGCCTTCAACCAAGAGAACGAGGCACCCGCATCTTTCAATTCCTTGAACTTCAACGCTAGCCACATAAACCCACTAGCCATGGATATCACTTCATCATACTGGAGGAGCCTCGCAATGCCATCAGCGAATGACGTGACGGGCGCCAGGTGGCCTCTCAACCCAGGAAGAAAGGCACTAGTGGACGAAGTATGAGCCGGTGCAGTGCATCGAGCGTGAAGAAACGTAAGTCCAGAGATTAAGGCGAACGAACCATATGCGTACCGGACGTAACGCATATTCTCCTTACGTTCTTCTTTCTGTTGTGGCTTCTTCTTACTCCCGAAAGCTCTCTTGACCAGACGATGCAAGGGAGCCTGTAGCAGAGGTACGACGACAGGAAACATCTGCCAAATGGCATTGTAGTTGCGGCGCGATTCAACCGTTGGTGCCATGAAGTTTGCGATTGTGGGAATATAGTATCCCGTCAGCATGGCAAACAGCAAAGAGCTCGAGGCCTCCTGCGTTATCTGATGCTTTGCCCCCGATAGAAGGCTTGAAAGGGGCAAGCGAATATGCTCCAATGTGTAGTATATTGGAGCAAACTTTCCAATGCCCTTCAATTGGGACGCTATTCCCGTGCCGATCGGGCTGTTAGGATTTAATTTAGCCATATTTTCCGGTGGTGGGGAAGTTTTCGAGTAGATGAACTTACAGTACGAGCTCATACCAGGAATGTGCCTTGCGATAACTTTCCAACAGCCATATTCCGTAAATGGGGCCAATGTCGGCCATGAATGATAGCATTTGAGTGTGGGATTGCGGATCAGATCCACTGATAGAAGGCAAGAAACACGTAGTCGCAGGCAGAAAGAGCTTGTCCAGGAATGGCATATGATAGAGTGGTCTGCTTAGGTTGAGGACCTCCCCATTAGCTGCAGACCATACGCCCTCTGCAAACAAAGACACCATGAAGGGCACAGTTTGATTTATCAACGTCCCCATCGTCTTTTGTGCAGCAGCATAACAGCAAGCAAACGGGACGGTTGAAATAGCACGCTTGCATACCTCATTATCCTGTTTGGAGACACTGTTTTTATCATCCAGGTACGGCATGGTGCATGCTAGTGACTTTGGTGGCAGAGGTAGACCGTCGATATTTGCTGCTCCAACAATTGTAGCAGACGTTTGATCGACCAAGTATTGACTAAGATATGGAAGAAGATAAAGCCCAATGATCTTTTTCTTGAGACCAGCTAGAGCCTCTATTCTGGTTAAGTCATAAGCTGACTGCGAAATATGGTCAAGCCGTTTCTGGCGGATGTTCTGCCATATTTGCAGGCACTGGTGGATATCCTGGAGATCTGTCTTTGGTTTGGTAGGCCGTTAACTAAAGTAGAGAGGCTGTTTGCAAGCGACGCAGCGCTCTCAATTGCACTGTTGCCTCCCTGGCCCAGGTTTGGTGTCATCTATAGTCAATATCTTAGATGAGTTTCTGGTACTACTCGAGAGATTAGACGCACCTTATGGGCTGAGTCACCAATGCAAACATATCGGTCGACACACCAATGACTATAGACAGCCTCTTCAAGGGATACAAAAGTCCTGACGATTGCTCTTTTATTGATCTCAGAAAGCGATACGTCGGGGGTGATCGGCTTCTGTAGATAAGGGGCGAGATGGCTATCGATCTCATCTTGACTGAATCTTGGAATTTGAGATGCGGGGTAAGTTTGGTCCATTCTAGTGAAGAAAAACCAGTAAACGCGCCCTTCTTTGCCGATAATCGTGAGTATGGAATAGCCCTCCGCGAAGGTTCTATGTCCGTGTCCCGGTCTCAGTCCAGGGGTGGCTGAAGATATACCGAATACACAGTTGTACTCGGATGTCATCACTATATTGCATATGAATTAGTAAGGATCATATGAAGCTTTTGATTTATGTATGGTGGAATCTTACAGTTCTTCTCCTTTAGGGCTTCATGCTCCATCCCTCGAGACTCCATATACTGCCACATCTGTCGTCTCACTGTGCTCCGTACCCCATCGGCTCCAACAACAAGATCACCCTCATAGACGGATTGATCCGCACAATGGACCATAACCTTCTCAGGGGTATGCTCTATCTCAGTCACCTTCTTGTTCACCATAACACGATGTCTGTTGTCTCCGAGGCCCTCGTACAGAATGCTGAGCAGAATTTGGCGATCAAGAAACGCAACCGGATAACCGTGTCTATTGAATCAGAATCGCCGCCAGTGTATAAAATCTGAGGACGACCGGATATATTGGCTTGCCTTTCATATATAGTCAGGGGAGCAACTGTGTCGGTGATGGGCTTGGCATCATTAGTCCACGTGAAAGTTCTAGTGAGAGGCTCAGCTTGACTGAGAACGTCGTCGTAAAGGCCTAGTTGGTCCAGGATGCGGGCACCGTTTGGAAGAATACCAATAGATGCCCCAACCTGGGGTGCAATATCCGCATGGGACTCTAGCACAACAAAGTCTGTGTTGTTTCGAAGCAGACAGTGAGCGAGTGTAAGCCCGGCGATTGAACCGCCCACAATCACAACGCGGAACCTGGATTCGGAATCTGCCATGATATACTCTATAATTTCAGAGTATCCAGAGATGTCGCCCTAACGTGAATAACAGGCAGTGTGTGAGGGACCGACACGACTACGACGACTGGAGGTGCCATGGTCTTTATGTGTGTCTCCTCGGGTGGACTTATCTAAAGTAGTCAGTGTAATGTAGCATAAGAGAGAAATCCAGCATGAGTGTTAGCACGCTCCACTTCGGTTACGCAAAGTGTCATGACTACGATTAAACTAAAACCATGGAAAAGGTCGATCAAAGCTCAATGTAGTTAGAAGGTAAAGGAGCATTTAGGTCCGTTCCTTCATGAAACGCAGTGGGTCCTATCCTCGAGCCGAGAAACCCGAGAAATCCGAAAACGCAACTTACAAGAAACCCGATGGTCCCAAGTCCACCTATGCTCCTTTTTCTCCAGGAAGCTGTTTTTTTCGATTGTTTGTTATGGTTTCCATCATGACAGCCTCGCATACCCCAATCTCCACAACGAGAGATCGGAAACGTCGCGAACAAAAGCCCCGCGTTCTGTTGTCATGCACGTCATGCAGGGAGAAAAAGTATGTACTGAAAGTATAACCAAATAACAATTGATCTCTTTGTAATTGTTTGACAATGCATAACATCTTCAAAAGCTGAGATGCAGTCGGGAACGCCCCTGCACAAACTGTCGGAAACGAGGTCAGGATGCAGCCTGTCAATACAATACCGAGCGTTCGAACCCCCGGGCATCGGGGAAGCCAGAACCTATTGACGTCCAAAATGACTTGCAATTTTTAAAGGAAAGATTGCTCTTCTTAGAAAGGCAAGTCACGCGGGATTGCAACTCTTCTTCCACGTCTCGGGATGATAGGCTTGATGTTGGCGAAAGTCCCAGCAGAAATTCTAGCGAAAGTGAGGTAGCTTCGACGGGATCACAAGTTCCCACAGGAAGAAGTTCCTTAACTGTTTGCTTCCTAGCTGGGGAAGTGGAACTCGATTCGTTAATCCAAGTCACTGGCAGGCAATCATGAATGATGCGGTGAGTCACACCAGAGATGTTTGGTTCTGCCCCTAGGAGGGGTTTTTCATCATGACATGTCTTAACGTATATGTCAGGCCCAGAAGCTCAATCGAAAAGATTGCAACGATAATGATGGCCAAGACACTGATAGGATCTCCCGGCCGGAAGGCCCAGTCCTGCTACTGGGAATTTCACAGATGATGGACATGGCAGAGCTTTTAAATGCACTACCGCCTCGCGAAACTGCAGATCTGCTCGTCGATCGCTGTCTGAACTCCAGGGAACCATCGCTAAGTACGTACTCCAACCCCTACTGTCTTACATACATCTTTGAACTACCTCGAGAAGGATCTAACAAGTCCTGCAGTCATCATTCACGCTCCGACGTTCAAAAGCGAAGTACATGCCATCAATAACTGAGCTATAATATAATGATCTAACGCAGGTCTTCCACAGTACCGGAGATTCTGGGATAACCCCGCCGGAGCACCGGTCGCTTGGATCGCACTATTGTATTCAACCCTCTCTTGTGGGATATACATCCAGCATACGGGAGATCCGAAAGTGTCCTCACTAGACTTGCCTAGAGCATTCTATGTGTACCGTAATAATGGTGCAGTTGCGTTGGCGAAGTCAAATTTCGCTACTCCGGGCCTTTATAAAGTTGAAGCATCCATCTTATACCTCGGCATCGAGTATCTCCAAAGTAACGACCAGAAAACAGGACTCCCAATGTTACTCAGCATTGTGTCGCGACTAGCAATAATGATGGGATATCATCGGGATCCTCAGCTCTACTATCTCCAGATATCGAGTTTTGAAGCAGAAATGCGGCGCAGAGCATGGCTTGTATTGATCACAATCGACTCCGTACTCGCATGGCATACAGGTCTACCCCGGGTTATTAGCCAGAGTCTAGGCGATGTGAGGCGCCCCAGAAACCTTCTGGATAGCGATTTTGGCCCGGAAACTACTTTCCTTCCGCCTTCGCGCCCCGCAGATGAGGTGGCCAGCAACATTGTATACATGTCGGCAATGGAGCAGATGTTGTCTGTTGCCAACGAAGTCGGCGACAAGGCTTCACATCCTTCCCTACTCCCCGAAAGAACTCTTGAATTCAATATGAAACTGGAAAATACCAAAAGTCGCTTGCCCAGCATACTTCATTTGCAGTCTCCAGAGATACGGGCATCAGATGACGAGACTGTGATCAAACAATACTGTTTGGAAATAACGTACCAGCGCGCGCGATGCATCTTACATCGCCATTACTTGACGGCCCTTTATCCAGAGCCTCATAAGGGACTAAGGTCTGTGTGCGTGGATGCAGCTCGGCAGGTTCTAACTCTCTACTCTGAACTATTCCAAGTTCTGGCTAAAACACATAATCAGCAGCTAGCGTGGTTCGGGGCGTCTCGCTCAAATTCCGATTGCTTGACAGCTGCCATGGTAATATCTTTGGAGGTGATAACACAATCGAAAAATGGCAGAACTGTGGGAATTACGCCCCAGGCTGATCTCATTGAGCTATTGAAGGCCTCCCAAATATCCTGGAGGAGCTCACCAAGGCCATCATCGGAGACCCTCAAAGCTGCAGGTATAATTGGTACAATGCTAGATCTATTGGGATATGGCGGGGCGGGTCCATTGCTTGCCTCATATGGGGCTCAAGAAGGGCAGCAGAATCATAGAGAAAGCACAGTGACATTCTTACGATCCCCAAGTATGATGCATGACATACTGACGGGGGATTCTGCGTTGGAAATGTTTGACTGGGTAAGGTGTGCTGCTCCATCGCACCTATTACGCTGACCATGACACTTCAAGGCTCTTTGGGATCATGAGATGCAATATCTGAGTGCGGTGGAAAATTAATTGTGAGAATGCTGGTTACTTGCCATCTTATTAAATCCAACGGTGGATTGATAAGGACATTATTCGGTCAAAGGCATTCAGAGATACTGTCAGCATACTAAGGGAAACCCCGGGAGCATACTATACTAACCCGAAATTTTGGTTAGGATGGCTGGATACTTTATATAAACCTTGGTTTATATACTCTGTTTATTTGAATCTGTACGTTCTATTGTCGTTACGAAAATGCAGAGAATTAACATTGATCTGATACAGGCTAGCTAATCAATCGAAGATCTATCACCCGACTCTTGCCAATAGCGATGAGAGCTATCTCTCAGATTTTAGAGCAAAAGAAAATCCAGCCTGCATCTACTTGAGCACGAACAGGTCTAAAACTCAGGGAGTGTGTTATCGTAAGCAGTGTCCCATACCGCATTACTGTCCTCGCCTGTTTTGTGGAGAACGGTACAGAGAGCTGCGTCCTCAGTATGGCCTGCAAAGTTGATGTGTGCAGACTTCTCTTTGAAGTCACCATAATCGACCAGGTCGCCCGGGGTCGTGGGGATGTTGGAGACATGAAGCTGGATAATAGGGGTCACATGGTGACTGTTGTTTTGCTTGACGGGAATCTAGAAAGACAGGTGGCGTCATTAACAGAAACAAAGCAGGCAAATGGGAATGGCTCGCAGGAATTACGGACATACCGCTGCGCACGCATGAACAGGTCCGAGGTCTTCGGGATCGTCTGGTTGTTGGCGTTTTCCAAAGGCAACCACGTAGGTCCTGTCATCGTTTGGGATGTCCTTGGTATCGACAGTAAAGGTATTTAGAGACTGGGCGTTTTCTCCTGTCTCCTGTAGCTTGAGACCCCCTTCTTCGAAGACAAGGTTGAATATTTCTGATCATTGTGTCAGTACTTATCAGGGGAATAGCATCGAGCGCTTTATAGATACAACTACCTGGGCCTCCGAGTCTAATCCCTGAATCCCACCAATGACTTTGATCAATATTGACATGGTTCCCTTCGAGTGTTCCAACTCCTGTGTTTCGCATCAGCCTGGTCTCTGAACGGTCTGTGGGTCGGTTCTGGCTTCAAGGAAGATGAACATATAATGAATCGACATACCGGCATAGAGGTATGCAGTGGTGTGGATATCCCAGACCGTCTCATCGTTAATGTTGTCGCTTGCAATCCAGGCAGGGGTCAAAAAGTCGGGGCTGGGAGGTGGAGCAAAGAAAATATACTTCTGTGCTGCACCACTGTTGTTTATCACCCTGAACCAGTGTTCTTCAGTCTCGTCTCCAGACATTTTTGCGGTATTCTAGTGTGAAATGAGTCTGTAGAAGGTGATTCGGTTGTCAATGAAGGATGAAATATTCTCCTCGAGGGATTATACCGGGATTATAATAGGAATGTGTGGGAGTTGCATGCAACCCTCCGCCCCCCCCCCCCCCCCCCCCCGTGTGGGGGTCAAGCTGAACCACGTAGCGACTTAGCTGGAATAATGACATGAATGAACGTCAGTCTATTGCTACAGTCAACTGCATGCAGATACAACTGTATATCGCGGATGTGTGCCGAAAGCATACATGATATAAATCTACCATGGTTAGCTCCAGCTGATGACGGCGTCTTACACCAATTGCTTCTACTTGGGGAAAGGTACTATCTTCACGGCCTGCTGACCAGCCTGCTCGAACCTCGATGCCACTTATCTTTAGGGTGGTATACAAGTCGATAGTGACGCACTTGAGTGCATTAGCATGCCTTTTGTCGTTAGATACTACACGCAACATTATGCACAGCGGTATTCGAGATCAGAAGCACCCTCCTTACTCTAAAGGACTCATTTCTGGTTAATGGACCTGGTAAATGCTAGCCAAATAAAGGTTAGCACTCTGTAGTTTTGACCATCAACGAAGTATCATGAATGTCATTTTTCTTGCATTATAGCCCAGATATATTAAGTTCTGGTGCTAATCTTGGTGCCTCATGAAACTTCGAGTTGCGATAAGTCTTAGAGAGTCACGACTGAAGGTCAAAGGCCTCGTATAGTTAATAATCTTACTATAGCAGGTTCACACCTCATAGAACTTTCGGCTTGTGTTGTGGGGAGGAACCTGGAAACTGCACAAGTCGTGCAAATATTAGGGTAGCAGCCGCGGAATAGCGGATGCCATTGTCTCACCCGGTTGCATACTCTCGATCTTTCATTCCATGGGTTCCATATCATGTCCATCTCTGGTTGGCTTTAGGAGAAAGGTGGGATGAGATGCGGCTGGCCGTCGTACCATATGCAACGTGTCATGGTGATCTGAAGTACCTCCGCGGCCATACCCATTTGAATTGCCTTGTGGATCAGCGTCGAACAGCCGCAGCCGGACAAGACTAGGTTTATTTTGGGGCCTTCGAGTCCAGACTGTAGCCCCACTCCATTCCTGTGGGCCGAACGTGGAAAGTCGCTGCTACCCAGGCCTCTTTGCAGACGCCATAACCTGCAGTCGGTTGCAGACTCGAACTGTGAAGAAGTCTGGGTCCTGGGCCCTAGGTGCTGATAGCCAGCCTTCCGAAAACGTTGTTGGAAATATACTCCATCACCCAATAGGAGGCACCTGATGGGCAACCTGGGTGAGGTGCCAAAATACATCAAACTGTTCGATGACAGCCACACCTCGCCTTGTGACGACGTACAGTATTCTTGGAAGGTTACTGGAACTCCGGTGGACAGTGGTGCTACGTCAGGGCCAGCCAGCTTTTCATTACTAACACTGGGGTCAGCAATCTATTTACCCAGTCATGAACTTTACCGGTGAAAAGATGGTAAGTCTAACTGTAACCTCCGTGGCGGGCTGGGGCTTTCGCTGAGAAAGTCTTTTTCTTTGTTCCAGATCGGCGGTAGCCCTGCCTTCTGCTACTTTAGCTATCATTGATGTATCTTCGTTGCTCTTCAGAAGTGGGCCGATGATGCCGGAAATATGTCCTAGGTCTATGACAACATCACGAAGTATTTTGTTAAGACAATCTGCTTGGCACCCCCAATGCAATTACACGCCTGGTAAATGCCAGGCCCGAATATCTCCTGTATCTCAAGGGCAACGCTCTCCTAGAGATTGCCTACCCCTGATGGTTGCATCCGTTCAGTGCTTGGGTCGCTAAGATCGTCGACTCCTTGAGTGTGGCTTACTTACACTCTGAGCTATGTCACTGGTGAGCTTCTGTGCTAGATTAAGTTCTTTCTCATGGATATCAGATCAGCTTTCATGCACGCCATCGCCTGAACGGCCTAAACCAAGGATACCTTCGCGTAGCAGGGGATTTAGATCTAAATTGCAAGCTCGCGCACCAGATCTCTTAATGAGAAAATGGCCACGCGTTTCAGCGTCACCACGATGATTTCCAACGGAAGTGAATAAAATTGAACATCCAAGCCAAGAAAAACAGGAAACAAAAATAAATAGAAGATAAAAAAACATACAACAGAAGGGATTCGCTGGTGGTCACCCACCCAACTACTAACCTCCCGGCGTGTGGCTTAAGTACGGCTGAGCGGACGGGA